TCCCCACTGGATTGTGCTATCGAGGTCTGTGTTGTGCGATCTGGTAGCATCCCCTGAGGTCCGAGGCCTTCAGCTCCAGCATCTCGCACCTCAAAGAGCAGCAAGCTATGATATGAAGCCTTGGATGCAGTCCCTAAGTTAAGGCAACCCTCACCTTTGAGCCTAATATCTATTCCGTTACCTGTGTTCTGCCTGCATAGAATATAACCCGACCATTTTTCATTAGCAAAAGCAGTTAGTAAGTGCACTGTCTCCAAAATTGTGAAGGAAGAGGTGAAGGAGAAGAATCTGAGAGAGGCCGTACACAGCACATAGCTGAAGCACCAGCTGCTGCTCTATGGTGTCTGTGAGTCCTCCTCCCCACAAACAGCTGGCTTAGTTTTAGAACTGTGGATTTTTCTTTTCTTGCTAGCCAGCATTCAGGAAGCAGAAGAAATCTTGGTGCAAATATTTAACAGGGAAACCAGAGTGGAAGAAGTGCCACTGATTTTGTCTCTCTTGTGTTTTGAAATCAGTGAAGTATGAGCTTTTCCTATTTACTTTTGGAATCTGAAATAATTTTGGGAAACAGCTAAAAAAATAATTGACAAATTTGGGAGCCAACTCCTCTTCTAGAGCTCTGTGAGGCATCTATGAGAATGATCAGAATGTGCTGGTGTGCTTGCAGGCCTCTGTGATTATATCAGCTGCTGTCATCTGTCACGCCTAGCTTCATCTGATGTGAGGTTTCTTGTTCCTTGGTGAGAGTGTGAAGACAAGCAGGTCGAAACCACTTCAATAATCAGAACCTTCTGTATTTCTTCTCTATCTGAGAAAAGGGGTGTATTTCCAGCAGTATGGGTGCTGATTGCTAATTATTAGTCACTGCAGTTGGAAGGGGCCTCTGGATTTGCTTGTGCTTGTTAGGCATGGTCTCTGATGCTGTAAGCAAGAACACTGGTCCTTCTTGGAAAAGTCTTATGCTATTGAAGACCCTCCAAAATATATACACTAGTTTATAATAGGATTGGTATTGTGCTATTTCTGTAAGATGCCTACAAAGAAGGAAAGTCTCAGAGCTGCTCAATCTCTGAACACCAGCCCCAGCTAGCAATTAAAATGCTGGAGAAAAACCCTGTTGAGTGAATGCCTGTTTACTGCCTGGGTTGTACTATCTTGCTAGGTCTGGTTCAAGAGTGTTCTTCCTGAGCAGGTACATTCTACTGCAGATATCCACTCACTGATACTAACATGGAGAATTTTAGAATCAACATGTGTCCTGGATTCCACCATAATCAAAGCCCAGCTTTGAGGTCTACCCTTACTCTCCTTACTTGTCATCAAAAGTTATCAGCAGTTAAGATGCTCTGGACACACAGTGATTAGCTACTATATGTACTTTTTTCCTTTTTTTAAAATTTATTTTTGACTTTGTTGTTGTACACAATGTCTGAAGGATTAGGTTTATCCTCTAGGGCCTTGTTCATGTACAAAGAATACCTTTGGCAAGCACAGCCCGAGATACATTTGTAGTATCAGTAGCCTACAGTTGGGCTTGTCCCTGTGCTGTACTCAGTTGCTGTTGTAAAGACAGTCATACGGAAGTACTCATCCTAAGATGGACTTAGAACTTCCCAGAAGGTTTAGTTTGGGGTCAGTTCTAAGTATTGATGGGAAGATCTTATCAATTCCTACGTGTTAAAGTCACGCCTGCAAATCAGAGATCAAATTTGTTTCTCTCCTTCCTGTCCAGCACACAAATGCTAAACAAAGAACAAGCAATGTTTCATCCTTTCTTGTGCACCTGTTGCAGACAGTGATTCGCTAAGTCCTGTGTAGAAACTGCCCTCTGCTCATGGGAAGTACTATGAAGGCCCATGGGCTGTCACAGATATCCCATGGCTTGTCTGATGGGATCTTGTTTGCTGGTAAGGATGTGTGCATGAAGCCCAGCTTGGCTTTCAGAGCTCTAGTCATGTTTGCAAAGTAGGCTTTTTTTTGTGAAGAGAAAATAAAGCGCAAAGCTTCACGTTAAACATTTCCTCTGTAATCACAGCCTTGGAGCTGCCTCTAATGTAGTGATTCCTTTCCTCTTTTCCCCTAGAAAGTATTTTTTTCTCAGATCTGGAACTTCATTTCAAGGCTCTGGAGATGCATCATACCAATAAATGTCATAATGTGACATTATCCCATTGCTTCTGACATTAACCTAAGCAGGCACCTGATGAAAGCTGATGAAGTAGGAAAAGCAAAGCTATGAAAAAATAACATGACACAACCCAGATGCACCACGATCAAATCTCAGATGAGAAAAGGGAGCTGTGATAGGTCCTTGGATACAAACTGTGGGTCAGGAGCAGTCGGTGGAACAGCACGAGTAGATGTAGATTATTCTGTGTCTGTCCTTGGCTCAGTAGACCACAAGCTGAAAGATCAGAGGAGAACAGCAAGATGGTGGGAGCCATTTCCCTGCATTTGCTCAGCTAGGAATTTTCCGAGAAGCCTGCAGCTTGTGATTTCTGCTGTGAAATAGTAAAAATATGGCCCCATCAGTCTAAATTTTGGATAGAAACTGTGTGGAATCCTTACCTGTGCATGTTAAGTGCATACTTAGAGAGTGAAGGAGTAGACATAGATCCTTTCTGATTCAGTTAACATGCTCCCAGAGTTTCTTCCACAATGTATATGACACTGGCAGATTTTTTGGGTTGTACTGTGCCCTGGCAGAGCAAGTTGATGCCTGCTCCACAGGTTGCCTGTACCAGCTGTGCTGCTTTCAGGTGTGCTCCACAGGCATTGTCTCTGTTACCAGCATGGCTGTCAGCAGAAGACTGAAGCCATAGGAACTCTACCCTTAGGTGAGCAAGGCAAAGAAAAGAGAATGAAATCTATTTTTCTTGTTCTGACCCAAATCTCAAGAGCTCGAGAGGCCTTTCTGATTGACAGGAGATCTTGCCTCTGAGGTTTCAGATGATCTTGGAGGAGTCTGGAGGGGAACAGTTTTTGCTTTACATGTTTACATATACTTTTTTGCTTTGTAATTATATGAGTATTTGGTAGTCTTTTAGTAGTTTTGGTTTAGGTTAGGTAACACTCAAAACATCACGTGATTTTGGTATTCATTAAAACTGAAATCCAGGTTTGCTTAGTAGGTCAGTAGCAAGCAGTCTTGCTAGTTTGAAATTGTAGTTTGAAATTGCTGTGATTTGCTAAAGGTAACATAAATGAGAGATTTATCATTATTAGTGTTAACAAATGAAGTGTTTGTATGCTTTCACTCCAAGTTAGTACTTTGCAAACACACCTCCAATACCAAGGAGACAAAAACTTTCACGTTTCCTGTTGTTATGAACATTTTCTACCTGAACTGAGCAATACAAGACCAGGTCCATATGGAACAGGAGGAAAGAGGGAGATGCCCAAGAGTGTCTCTTAAACGCGTTAGGTGTGATTTTATGTATTGGGCTGAGGAACTGATGTGAAATGAAATGGCTGCATCCAATAGAGTTCTGTCTGTCTGAAGTTCCTGTCAGCTGCCATCCTGTGCACTGCATGAGGGTGTGCACCCACTAATGTGCCATTTGTACCCCCCCCCCCCCTCTTTGATGCCTCCTGCACTTGCTTGGGGTCACCTGATGATGAGTCCTGTGTCAGAGAGTTCCCCCCACGCCAGCAGGGCCACCTCACTAAGCGTTGGAGAACACTGAGAGACTGATTCTCTTAGGCTGGCATCCCCAGCTTGGGCATGTTGGCCTGGCTAGAGCTAAGCTTGTTCTCTGACTGGTGTGTCCCCATGTCCCCCACCTGGCCTGTCTTTTTTGGGTTTTTGGGAGACAAAAGGAGAAGCAGGTGGGGCTTATGGTGATGCAGAGCTGAGGCTGGACCCTGTGGGCTGTTCTCTGCTGCTGCCTCATGCTCATTCACCACACCTGGCAGTGATTGAGTCCTCCTCCAGCTGCTCCCCTGTTTCTAATTAACAACAGCAGGTTCCAGACCATAACTAACTGCTCCTGCAGGTTTCTGGACCCTTCCATCCTATTGTGGTGGGGTCAGGGCTGCCCTATGGGTCAATCACCAGGATGGAGTAGCTGGTGTTCAGGGACGCTGTGACCTGCTGGCTCGTCTCTGAGGGATGGAATCGCCCATCCCTGGTATGCAGCTGTGCTAGGAAACGTTGCCTTACAGCACCTTTTGTGGTTCATTACATTAGTGAAAAGTCACAGCAGCATGTATAACGGCTGGAAACTTGTGTCTGTGGTAGCAACAGGCAAAAATAGAGGGGATGGCAACAGAAGACAAACCCGTGTGCAGAGGTCACTGTGTGTGTTGTGCGAGACAGAGCTGCAGTCCTGCTCCATGGTCATGGAAACCAGCCCCTGGCCATCTCCTGCCCAAGTCAAATAGCAACTTTGGAGGCAATGTGTATTTTTGCCTTGGGATGACTTGCTGTCTCACAAGTTGCTATTTGACTTTGGTTGAAAAAAATGATCGGGTGCTTTCTGCAAGCACAAACCAAAGCTTGTGGCTTTGGGCAGTTACCAGGACTAAGGCTGCCTGTGTAATTACATTGCCTATATTTAATCTGTGGCAGATCCCTTAAATTTCAGATGTGCAATCAATAGCTTCTGCTGTGAGGCTTTGCCACTGTGTGCATCCCCTCCCCTGCTTGAGATGCACAAAGTCAAGTCAGTACGCTCGGAGGGTGAGTGCACGTTCCCATCCATCCATAACCCACAGAGAGCATAGAGGTCTGTGTGCGTGCATTACATGCAAGACAGCTGCTCTGCCTCTGTTTTGTGAAGGGTTTGCTCTGGTTTCATTGTGGCTCCCTTAAAACAATCCGATAATCACCCCCCCACCCCCCAGGTTCAGGAGCATAAATATGCACGGCTTGTAATTCTGTTGCAGCTCTCGCTCCCAGCTGATAGGGTGACGTGGAGTTCGGAGGCTCGCAGATTGGCTTTTTGATTTGGCTTCTTGCTGCAGTTGTGCAAACCCCGGCGTCTCGCGGCAATCGGGCTGAGCGCCGCTCTGCTGCGCGGTGCGGAGAGCCTGGACGCGCTGGGGAAGCCCGGCACGTTCATTGCCATCTGGGGTACAGCCCATTTTCTTCCCTCCCTCGTCGACCCCCGTCCATCTCCATCCTCCTCCCCCTTCCCTCGCCGTGCCTGAAGCTGAAGACCGAGGCTGGTGGATTTACCGACGTTTCCCGTCCCCCCACCCCTTTTCCAGATGCACCTCCCCGCTCACCCTGACAGCTGCACAAGAGAGCCCAGGTTCCGTAGCGAGCACGGCAACTTGGACTGACATGCGGAGGAGCAGCCCCGCACACACGCACGGCGGTGGTACCCACGAGATGCAGTGAGCTCCGTTAGGAACCGGAAGGATTTATCCCAGTGGAGCCCCCCCACCTCCCAAAAACTCAGGAAAGCCGCCAGCAGGGGTAAGTAAGCGATGCTCCCTGGGGAAGGGAGGCTGGCGGCCGAGCGCCCCGCTGCCGAGGGGTCCGTGCGGACGCCGGGGTGGGGGCTTGGGGACCCTCTGCGGGCTCCGGCCGAGGGGGGAGCGGCGGCGCCTTGTGTACGGGGTGCGGGAGCGCCGTGCCCGCGGCAGCCGCTGCAGCCTTCGTGCCGGGGGGGCCGGGGAGCGGCGGGGCACGGCGGGAGCCTCGGCCGGGATCCTTCCCGGGGGTGTCGCGGCACGGCCCGCAGGGATGCCGGCAGCCGGGTGGGGGGGCTCTGCCTGGAGCTGCGCCTCTCATGCAGTGCTATAAATTTATTTCCTTTGGATTTTTTTGTCCTCGTTTTCATTTCCCCCCCCTTCTTTATTGTTGTTGTTGTTATTATTATTTCTGCCGGGGTGGGGTACTGGGCCATCCTTGCCGCACACCGGGAGCACCAGGGCTGCCGTCCCGGGCAGCTGTCGCGCTCTGTCCGCCGGTGCCGCTTGTTTACCCCCGGTGTCAAATATAGCTGCTGCGCCAGGCGCTGCCCTAAATAGGGCACGGGGCCGCCTGCGGGGCTCCCGCAGCCCCCGGCTCGCACACACACATGCACGCAAACTGGCCTGGATGGTGGGTGATTTCTTGCTCTTTCTCCTGCCCAGCCTCTCTTTAAGCTTTATTGTTCTTACCTGTGTCTGAAGTATTGCCCTAAGTGGGAGATGAAACCATTGCAAGTGGTTTTGGTTTTAATTATATTACAATGTTAGGATATAGCCATTTTCCTCCTCTCTCAAGTGGAAATGTAGAGAAGTAGTTGGTTTTCTTGGCTTCTTCATGCATTCCTGAGCTCATCTGGGGGATTTCACCTGAGAAATATACTGCAAATCCAAGGGGAGACACTGGAAAAATGTGTGTGCCCTATATGCATCCTCCTCTCTACGTGCATGTATACATATTAATTTCTCATGTTACTTCATATAGCAAAAGGGTGATTTTTACTTGAGTTGTTGCCTATCTCTGGAGAAAACAGAGCTGGAGGATGGAAATCCCAGCTCGCAGCCCCATCCTGCCCACAGTGCTCACCCGCTCTCCCTGGTAGCGTGGCAGAAGCTGCTGGGACACATGAGCCTTGAAAGTACTCTGCTTTGGTGCAGCAGGAAGAGCCATTGCTCCCACATGGGCAGACATTCCTAGGGAGTCCCTGGTGCTGCTCCATCCACTGCTGTTGCAAGCAGCTGTGTGCCCTGATGATGGTTTAGCTAGCAAAGTGATTTGCATTTGGTGCTTCTGTGGTCAGCTGGAACGAGACTTGTTTCCTGAGCGGGAGTAGCGATACTGTAAAAGAGCATGTCCTGCTGTTGCCAAGGGCTGACTGGGGCAGAGCAGGAGTAATGTGGGGGTCCTTGGTTCTGCTGCTGGTGCTCAGTGTGATGGCGGCCACTTGAGCCACCCTCCTGCTGTGAACAGAGAGGTGCAATGCCAGCTGGGGTGGGGGCAGAAGGAATGGACACGCATAGCCCTGGGTAATAGGTGCAGTTGAGCTGCCTGTTTTTTTCCCCAAGCCAAGTACTACTTCTATTTTGATAAACCAGTGGTTCAAGAATGTGGAAGGTATGATATTGTGATATTCCTGCTGCGAAGTCCTGTGTGGGCATAGTGGAAGTCCAGGTGGGCTCCCAGCCTCTGTGACAAGACTCTGGCATGCTGCTGGGCATAGGGAGTCCTGTCCGGCCCCATTTCCCCCACCCCTTTCCCCAGAGCTTGTTTGTACAAAGTAGCTAATGGTATTTTCCAGCCTATATTGGTGAGGAAGAGTTTGCTACAGCTAGTGGATGACAGAATGTGAAAGGGGAGGCAGATGTGGAGCCATCCCACAGCACACGTCCCTTGCAGAGAAGTTGCTCCTTTCTCAGTAAACCACTGCCAGAGCGGCCAGCTGTGGGATTCCAGCAGGGATTCCAGGTGTGGTAGCCAGATGGGGACAGTCCTTCCCATCATCAGATCAGTGCAGGAGTAGCTCTGTACTCTGTATAGGGCTGCAGAGGGCATTGCTGAAGCCTGTGCTGACCTAATGCTGCATTACACCTGACCCAACACTTCCCTTGGTCTCAAAGGGTTCCTTCTGCCATAGTATCATCCATCCTTAGGAATGGGAAGAGCCATAACTGAGTGTGTCAGCATTTTCTGATAGAGACCAAGTTAAGATGTATTCTCTCCACAATATCTTGAAGTACTGTACAGATAAATGGCCTGTCTGTCAGGGTTTTGTTTGCTTGTTTTAAACAAACAGCATCCCTCTCCTCCCCTAAGCTTCCCCAATGACCAAACAGTGTTGACAAATAGTTCCTTGTTCTTTGTTGTTGCTGTCTGTTTCTGATGCCTTTCATGTGCTTCAACAGTTAAAAAGATGGCTTTGGTTGTCTGCCAGGTACCTTTTTTTTTTTTTTTTTTTTTTTAATCAGGCAGTAATATCTAATTCTGTATTAAAAAAAAAAAAATCAAACAAGGAAATTAGATTACACAGACAAAAAGTATCTTGATATGGAAAAGGAATCTCTGTCGCCAGGAAATTGATGGCTGTGATACCCTGTCTGCCATCACCCACCGTGCTTAGGTGTTGTGGCGCAGATTAGCACTATTGTTCGTTTAGTGTTTGATAACAGTAACTCCTAGAGGCATCAGCCCAGTTGGGAACCCACGTTTCTGTGTGCTATACAGATGTCTAATAAAAGCTAGGCTCTGTCCTGAGGAGCTCTGTGCACTAAGAGACATGCAAGATCCCAAGCTGCTCTTGGCGTATAACTAAAGTGCTCTGTGCAGCTGAGTTTGTGGTCTGACGTTTGTTGAGGTCGGTGACATGGGGTTTGCAGAAGTGGGTGAGCTTGTTGTCCCTAAGTACATCCAGGATGGAGTCTGGGAATCACCATGAGCCTGCAGCAGGGTGAAGGGGCTGCTGCGGAAGAGGCGAGGCATAGGTGGGAGCTGGCTTCCCTCCTTCCCCTCTGTTTTCTTTGCCTTAATGCTTGAAACTGGAAGCTCTGGGTGGTGATCAACGCATGCATGTACAAAGCTGAGCATGATGACCTCCCAAACTCAGGATTTTGCAGAAATAACAAGGCATCAAGCAGCAGTGATATGTCAGGCTAGGCTGAAAGTACCATCACCTCCACCCCCATCTTCCAGTGATGCAGTGAAGAGATCCAGGTAATGTTGCCCTGTGATACAGCATCATAGTGTAATTAGTTCATCCATAAGAAGCATTTATAAACAGGTGACCGTTGCAGCCCTGGGCTCCTTTGAATCTCAGTTTTCTGGCAATTCTGTCTCTAAATCCGCTTGCTGGAGCCTTTGATCACACAGCTGAGCTGTCACTGATGTCCCTGACAGTTGACATCATGGCAGAGAGGGGAGCTTAGGGCTCTTAACATCTCCTTTATGATAGCTTGTTTTCTAACTAAACACTCCAACGAGGATTTTCCATCATAATAAAACAGTGCTCTTTTCCAGAGCACTCAGATTTAGGAAGAAGCCTCTGTTTCCATTCAGCGTTTCCTTTCACTAGCAGATTATTTCAGAGCTGCAAAGCTGGACTTGCTCTATTTGCTTCTTTCTCATACTCTGCTGTCTTTTTACCTAAGTCTCCTAACTCAGGACAGCAGCAGAGACAGCCAGGTCAAGAGCAATCAGAAATACTAAATATCCTGTGCTGCTGGGCATGTTTTGCAACCAGGGACGTGTCAAAGAGCTTTAGAAACTATAGCATACAAGACCGCATTGCCGCTGCTTTCATCATCACCTCCTCCTAGCCTGGTACTTGGAAGCTGTCTCAAAGTAAACAGCAGCAGTATCCAGCAGCAAAGCAGAAGAGGGTTTTAATCGGAAGAGATGGTAGCGGTGCAGGATGCGTATGTGAGAGGGAACTTCTTAGATCTCACAGGTGTGGTTGTGTTGAAGGTGACACGTGCAGGAGTGAACGTGGGCATCTGGTGCTGATGATGCTGAGTGCCAGCGTGTTTGTATGCTGATGCCACTGGTGGAAGCCAGTTTACTTCCCAGGGCCACATCAGGGGCAACACCAAGGCTAGCATGTGTCCACATCTTGTTCTGCTGTCTGGATGTGCCCTCGCTCCCCTTTGCGGGAGAAGTGATAGAAGGGAATCTGTTGCCAGGTTCTAGGCAGGCTGTGAAACCTACCCCTGGGCTCTGGGTGCCTTCTGCCACAGCTTCCCATGCCCACAGGGATTGCCCAAGTGGTGATGTTCTATGTGGAGAAGCTATTGTCCTTCCCTCTCTGCAGTTTGCTATCAGGCCCCATTTGTTTGAGGGGCCCTAAGGCCTAGATGTCTTGGTTTTCCACCTTGATGTGTCTGCTCCTAGATGAGAAGTAATATTTTATACTGAGTTGAAAGTTTACCTCCATCATCTTTCATGATTTTGATTGAGTTTATGTGGTGACCCTTGGATGTGCATGTTGGCTGAAAAAGATATATGTGGAAGACCTTTATGTAGCAGGACAAGCCTGATAAGTGGTCCAGCAGATGCTGAAGGGGGAGACCTGTCCCTGCCTGTACAGCTGATGCCCCTGCCGTTAGTCATTTTAATCTTGATTTCTACAGCCTTCCCATCTGCTTGTTCCTGCTCCTGTTCCATCCCCTACAGGCAATGGGCACAGCAGTGTGTGAGCAGTTGTTGCGTTCAGCTTCCTTTAGTGCCCGATCAGTTCCTGGTCATTATTCATGGCGTAGCTGTGCAGACTGTTAGGCCAACAAAAAGGCAAGAAATAGTGCAGATAGGAGCAGGTGACTGGACATGGAAAATGTTCAGCTTGGCTTAAGAAGCCCTGCTTCCACCTGTAAAGCTGCTGTCTGTATTGCCTGAAGCAGTAAAGGCTTGGAGTGGGTTCAGCCTTGAAGTCTACTGTTGATGAGATGGATAGTCCTGAATGCAAATCAGTTGCACAGAACCTAAGAGTGATGGGATCTGCAAAGTACTTGATAAGC